CTCAAAGAAACCATGAAATGCAGTTGGCACAATCTGCCCTCAAGCAGCCTAAGAGGATATATTCGTACATCAACTACAGGACAAGGATGCATCACTGGATTCCCAACCTAATTAAAGAAGGGAGTGAACCTAAAATGATAGAGGAAGATCGGGAAAGTGAAAAGGCTATGGCAAACTATTTCGGGGCAGTTTTCACCCAGGAACCTTCTCTAGACAAAGAACCAGACCTAAATACATAGTCAACAAACCACCTTCGATCAAGACGATTTACTTGAGTCTCTCAGCGCCTTAAACATGGAAAAGTCAACGGGACCAGATGAACTACACCCCAAAATCTTGAGACATATTGCGCAATATACCGCGGCCCCGATGAATGTGATATTCAACATGTCACTTGACCAAGCTGTGTTACCTATGGACTGTAAGGACGCAACCGTCACTCCCATACATAAAACAGGGCCAAAACAACTTCCATCGAACTGCATACTTGTAAGCCTCACCAGTTTTGTAGTTAAAATATTGCAAAGAATAGCCAAAAAGACAATAATGACATTTGTAGAGAATGATAACCTGTTAAAAAAGCGAACATGGTTCTAGAAAGGGCTTGTCTTGTACAACGAACCTCCTTATAGCAAGTGAACATTGAATAAAGGTGCCAGACAACGGAAACGCAATGAATATTGCCTACATATCCTTCAGTAAGGCTTTTGGAAAAGTGCCAACTAAAAGACTGCTATTGAAGCTGGAAAACCTTGGTATTGCCGAACCTCTTTTAAAATGGATTAAAGATTTCCTAGTAGGTCGTAGACAAAAAGTAAGAATAAATTCCAAGTGCTTCATCTGGAGACCAGTACTTAGTGGAGTACCTCAAGGTTCCGTCGTAGGTTCTTTACTTTTTATGCTGCATATAAATGATCTCCCAAGTATAGTACAGTCTCCAAGGTTATTATACGTTGACGATGCAAAGATCTGGCGAGTAATAACTGGAGACAAAGACGCATTTACTCTTCAGGTACACTTAAATAATATGATAAACTGGTCTAAAGAGTGGCTGATGCCTATCAACGCGGAAAAGTGTGTCTAAATGCACTTGGGGGATTCAAAGGTTAATACGTACAACATAGGGGATGTGTCATTACCAGTAGTCCGGTCTCATAAGGATCTAGGGGTGACAGTGAGTCATGATCTTAAGACGAAGACCCATTGCCGGAAGATTGCAGCTAAGGTGTTTCGAACCCTCTGGGCTTTAAAACGGACATTCACGAAAATAGATACTACCATGTTCACCACAGTATACATATCCTTAGTGAGAACCGAGTTCAGGCTGCAAGCTCGTGTTTAAAATGTGGCTTGAATATCCTAGGAAAAGTACAGAGTGCAGCTATACGTGCAATTTCAGAACTCCAAATGTTCACCATAAAAAGAGAGGCTTGAAAAGGTAAACCTCTTTACTCTGTCCCGTCGCATACTAAGTAGAGATCTAATTTTAATGTACAGAATACTAAGAAATGATTCTGGGCCTAACATATTCTCTCCCTTTTTTATTAGATCGAGGCATCTCAGAGGACATAACAGGCGAGTAGAAAAGCTAACAACGAACAAAGTACCCATGGCATACAGGTCTTCATACTGAGTCATTAATAGTTGCAACCTGTTATTCGAAGCAGTGGTGTCTGCTTATTCAATTGACTCACTCAAGAGAAGACTGGACACTCAGAAGCATACCAGAAAAGGAATAACATAGGCCGTAGGCCTTCTGTCCTTAACCACACGAATCTGAATCTAAAATCGAACTTTCTTTGGAAGCATGAAAGCCTGACCGCTATGCTATGGTGGGTTAGGCTGAGAAATCATCGCAAGACGTGATCTCGATAAGTATTTGATGTGAACAGGGAAACAAGAAGCCCTGACAAACTATGAAAGCTATTTTTCTAGACGTTATTTCATTTTATTCAAAGCTTGTAAAACACTGACATTTATTTTTGTCCCTATTTTATTCTACAGGACATGAGCTTTCGTTCAGTGTATCATTCATTGTCATACCCCTTTTTGTTCCGAAGCTATTGTAATTTACACATCATATTTTGCACCTTATCTTCTACCCTAATTCCCAGTTTTGGACATAATTGTATTTTTCCAAATTATTGTACGTTGCGGTCAGGTAAATCACCTATTTATTCACGTACCTTTTTGCACTAGTCTGAATTCAGAGTCTTCGGAGATTTCACAGGAAATCAGGATATCACAATACAGCCAATAGTGTTCCAACTGTCTTGTCTTCTCTCATTACCGTGTTTGCCAGCCAATCAGGTGCTAGAATAGTTTTCCTCTCTTTACCCCACCTCGAACTTACGCGTACTATCCTCAAGGTTAAACCGATCAGCCTATTGCGTCAAGGTCTTGATCTGGAGTAGACAGTTCAAGGTCATAACAGTATTCATATCATATTCCTTAAACTTCGGTGGTGATTCTCATCTTTGTGGAAACATAGAAAGGTGCACAGTGAACAATGTATAACTAGATTGTCTTCTTCTAAACTTTATTCTCGTGAACCATGTGCATTTCATTGTGCTAAATGCTCAGGTTGTGAAAAACCGATCATATCAAATTTGTGTGTGAACCTGCTATTCATTTCACAATTTTTGATAATATGTTATTAGTTACAGTTATCACTTATTTTCACTGCTTGCTACTGGTTAAAAACCGTATGTTACTGATGGTTCGTTTCAGCACTTCAGTACAGATACAGGAAGTATCGAACCTATGATTTGAATTTAAGAAATCCTTTTCAGGGACCACTTGAAAGGACGATACCCATGGGCTGTACGATGGCCGAATGATACCTAAGTGTACCACACGATCGAATTCGCTTTTAGCCAACCTCAGCTTTTCGAGAGCTAGTCGGTGCGCTCTCGAGAATACAGATGGTCCTGTAGTCGTGACGTGGTGTGTAACATCGCCGGCTACAGACGGCGATTTTGTTCATTTTTGATGCGGATCAGGGTGCTTATCGTGTATCTGTTGACAGAATGAATCGATTGTGTACCTTACGTTGACTGGGGGTAATCCAACATCGGAAAGGAAAGTCCCACGAATATGTAATTAAGCGTCGCCATCTACTAACTTCTGTTTTCTCGGAACGATGAGTAGATTGTAGCGTTATGGCTGGCCTATACCGGCTATTCTCATAGAAGCATACGCAACAAAGAAAATCCAGAAAATGGTTTGCGTAAATATACGTCAAGATGAACATACTGCTTAGAGTATGTGGCAGTCCGTTTCCAGTTTATCACCTGTAAGTTGAGAACCGAATCATGCAGACGGTCGTTAGAATTTGCGGGAAGAATGCCTACTGCGCCAGTGTCGGCGAGATAGCGAAATCTCGTCATCACGTCAGTAATGTACAACAAACAGCTGTATTCGCCAACTGCGGTTGCCGTTAACTCGTACCGGCTCTGAAGTTTGTCGAAATAATTTTCGTGATGTACGTTTCGGCGATGAAGAAACTGTGATGTATACTTCAATCTCTAGAAGATTTATCATGGGTGCTGTCGTAAAAGAGCTAATCAGGACTCTGACTCTCATGGTCTAAAACAGATCTTTTACGTGACGAGTCTCTTTGAGGAGTTTGAGCTCGTCGCGATCATGATGAGTATTAAGATGAGTGAGAGTATGACAGTAACCTTTAACGTCATTTTGAATCCTTTGAGACCTTTCTTAGACGAAGTAAGAGTGCGCGTTGAAGGTTCGGATAATCTTCAAAATTCGATACAACCAGATTGTTGACGGAGTTATTTTGGAGTGAGAAAAGAACCGCTTGTTACTGGTTAGAAACCTCAAATGAGAACAGCTTTCTTAAATGGTCTTCATCGAAGGTTCGTCGACCAATGACCTCACATAAGTAACAACAGTTCTGTTGCTAAGCCCTGTCGCAATTTGATGTTGTGGGTGAGCTGGTCTGGCCTTTTAGGTCGATTGCGTCTCCCAGTTCGAATATGATATGGAACGTTACAATAAGAGAAAGACTCATGGTGTACTGTTTGATGTATCAAATCAAGTCGGGTTCGCTGTTACAGAGGCCACATGTATTCGGAATTTGACAACTCTCAGTCGTACCGCAACTCAATTTCGTGGTAAAGCTGGTCTAAACTTTGTCGATCGGTTAGGCCTCTCCATTCAAGGTAAGCCTTCTTTAGAGTGTCGTAAGGTTCCGAAACATCACTAGTAAACCTACTAGGTGTGAGACACCTGTTAAAACAACGCGTTAGTGCACTCACCACTGCGAGGGATTCTTCACGTAGGTCTGTCAGCTCGTGCTCGTGGAGGTCAGCTTCTGAGTAGCAGAACCAGGCTTCTATATTGTCAGGCCAGAATGGCACAAGCTGAAAATTGGGAGGCGTAGTAGTCTTAATTTCAAACAGCTTAGATGTCTTTTGTGCCATAATAAAAATAAGATATAAAAATGAACGAGAAAGGATATCCGAAAATACAAAGCTAATATGATTGTGAAAATAAAAGTTAAAAAGTAATATAAAATGTTCCCATAAAGGACAGTTTCACAGTTTATTGTTTGATGTACCAGATCACATCGGTCTCACGACGACAGATACCACAGATATCCGGAGATTGACAACGCCTTTACACTTAACACCTGTATAACCTAAGTATATTAACCCAGACAAATTAAGAGTCAGAGATGAAGGGGTTGGTAAATCTATTTGACAACTATCAGTATGTTGAAGGAACGTTTGGTCCAAGCCAGCCATTAGGTGGAAGGGATGAGTAGCAAGGCGTACTCACTCGTGATCTCTTGCGGATGAGTGACGGAGCACCTCTAGATAGGTAAGCCCAGTAGAACTATTGCAATCAGCATTAAATATAGAAAATTTACAGAATTATTGATTTTGGGGATTTATTTACCACCACAGTTATCACAAGTCACTTAACCTACTGTTCATTTCCAAACTGGTAACCATTGAAGACCTGGAACGGTATCTTATCATGAAGACGCGAGCTCGCGGAAGTTCACCAATATACACCAACTACTCATTAAGTTTTAAGACATTGGCAACTTGATGCATTATTTCTTTCTTCCTTATGAAACCCAAAACCTTTACACAATAGCTCATATTTTCTAGCACTAACGACTCGGGATCAAAACCCAAAGTATACTTGTGGTCACTCAGTGGAGTTTGTGAATTAAAGTTCGCATTGGAACATTTTATGAGGTCAGGGTGTTACTACAAAATTGTACGCTTATACCTGGTTGGATTATTTGCTCGATTTGAAGTTTGTGTTTGTCTGGGGCTTGTATTGTCGGTGATTGTTGTCTGTTGCTTTCCTTAACAGATGTAAGTGCGTTGGGTGCTCTTTCTGAATCGTTGGCTCATTTTTTGTTTTCTTTTCCATTCCTCACATCACTCCTCATGCTCTTTTATTATTCAAAATATTTTCTGGCTTCACGCAAGACGTTGTACTTTGTTTGGGTTTAGGTTCTCCAGACGTTGTTAGTAATTATGGCTTTATTCCTGTAGACTCATAATATAAATTGTTTATTAAATGAGTTGGTTTTACCTGCATATACGTATATAATCCTTTTAGTACTAGAAGAACTCTTGTAGTATATACTGCAAACATATTTGGTGTTTTTAACTTCGCTAATTGTACAGGTTTCAGGTATTTTCCTCCGGGCACGAGATTGGCTGGATTAATGAGTGGTTAAATTAAGCTAATTCTAACAAATTGTTTATCCATAGCTGTAATGTTACAATGCCTCGTTTCTTTGTAAAGTTTGCGTTGATACTATGTAGAAATTTTCATCCGTCTAGCATTATGCAGTATCACAGTCGTAAACACCAGACCTATCCTTGGCAAACATTAGACAAACTGTGTTTTCCAAACCTTACGGTTTCTCATTAACTCTGTAGGGTCGGTTATTACTTGCGATACTGATCATTATCATAGTAAAAGTAATTGAGTTTTTTTTTCAAATTGACTAAAGACTGATACTAGTATTGTCGCTGACCGAAGCCACTACCTTAACGTAGTGGTTGCGCTTATCTATGTTAATGACCCGATCAATCTGTATTGGCTGGAACAGTTATCCCTTTAGGTTGTACCAATTCTATAGAACCCCTACTAACTCAGTTCTTCCGAGTTACCTGACGAGAAATGTTCTCTCACTATGTGGACGACCTAGGAGTGACAACCGTCCTCTTCTACTTACTTATGCCTGTTACTCCCAATGGAGCATAGGCCGCCGACCAGCATTCACCAACCCACTCTGTCCTAGGCCTTCTTTTCTAGTTCCATCCAATTCCTGTTCATTTTTCTAATGTCTATCTCCATTTCCCGGCATAATGTGTTCTTTCGTCTTCCTCTTCTTTGGCCTTGAGGAGTTCATGTGAGGGCTTGTCTTGTGACGCAGTTTGGTGCTTTCCTCAACGTGTGTCCTATTCACTTCCAGCACTTCTTGATTTCTTCCTCCACTGGGATCTGGTTTGTTCCTTCCCACATTAGGTTGTTGCTAATAGTGTTCGGCCAACGGATCCGAAGTATTTTGCGTAGACAACTGTTAGTAAACACCTATATCTTCTGAATGATGGCTTTCGTAGTTCTCCAGGTTTCCGCCCCAGTAGACAGTAGAACTGTCTTGACATTTGTATTGAAAATCCTGACCTTGGTGTTGGTTGACAGTTTCTGTTTCTACACTGGTCGTCTTCTCCTGGATTTGTTGTTGCGTTTGGGATAGAAGGGCCAGATCATCTGCGAAGTCTAGATCGTCCAGATGCATCCTAGATGCCCACTGTATCCCATACTTCCCTTCAGATGTTGACGTCTTCATGGTCCAATCTATCACCAGGAGAAAGAGAAAGAGTGAGAGTAAGCAACCTTGCCTAACACCGGTCTTCACTTCGAACGACTTTGTCAACTGTCCTCCATGCACGATTTTGCAGTGTAATCCATCATATGAATTCTGTATGATATTGACTATCTTCTGACGCACTCCGTAGTGTCGAATAAGCTTCCATAGTGTTGTTCTGTCCACGCTATCAAATGCTTTTTCGTAGTCAATGAAGTTGATGTAGAGTGATGAATTCCATCCAGTTGATTGTTCCACACCGTCCTCTTCTAACATCACCCGATATCACTTTGTTCACGATCGAGTCCCTGCTTCGGTTTGGGCACCCGGGCAGTATCATAGCCCTCAGATAACTCAAATGAGATTCATGTGGCGCATATGTATTTGGTGCCTCCTTGTACCAGTATCTGTTTGTCCAAATAATAATAATAATAAGTCTCTTCGTCACTTCTCAATATTTCTTCTGTCTTGACTATTAACCCTTGTCCTATGAATTTATTTCTATCCCTAAGCATTACCAATGCTGACTGTTCAAATCCATGAGATGCTATTTCTTTCCTTGTAAAACCACGTGCTAGAACTTTCGTTGTTTGAACCTTATGTCGAAAAACTACACTCTTCAGCCTAATTGTGCCAGATTTTAACGCCTAAGTTGGCAGTTCAAGCCGAAACGAAAGACACCTAGGTGTGTTTTACTGTGTCAGTTCAACGAACAGACAGCTGTAACTGTCCGCCGCAACTACTCTCAGGCAACCATACATTTTTAGCAAGCACCGATTTCGAGCTTAAAGAGTAACATCGTGTGACAGACAGCAAGAACGAACTTTTCGGACGGAAATAAGTATTGAAAATCCTGGGGTTATTGGGATTGTATGTTTTTAAAAAAATGGGACAATGCTCCGTTTCCAACCTAGGCGACTGGAATAATAGGCAGAGCACTGAAGAACAGTTTAATTGCTCTCCGACCACCTTTCAGTCGTCTGCTTTCATCAAGCAACTTGGCTGGGATGTCAACATAATCCCATCCAACTCTTAGTGAAGTAGAAAATGTCATAGCTAATTTATGGCGTGGGGATGCAGCAGGTCTCTTGAGATCTTAGCTAGAGACTGGATGTCATCCAACCTGACTGGTACCGATCGCTAATCGTTTCAGTACATAAAAAAGACGAAAATCCTCTCGTGATAACAACGAAGGAACCAGTCTAACTAATATCGTATCTGAAATATTAGCCTCAATAATCATCTGAGACTTGACTTGGCCTCGTGAAGTCCAAACTCGGCAAAACCAGATTGATTTCAGGCCTGGGGATTGGTGTGTGGACCAAACGACTCCCAACCGTAGTTGTGTTTCTTGATTTTCAGGCAGCTTTCGGCTCCGTTAGTCGACAGGCTTTATGACAGTGTCGTTGTAAGGAATACTAATGAAGTACATCAACCTTGTACAAGCTCTGCTCGACTACTAGTTGAGTCAGAGCTTATGGCGAACTGTCATACTAACATCTTTATACCGGAATATAGCCATTTCTTTCACAAATTTAGCAATATACTTTCCTCTCAAGTAAAGCATTTTTCAGGTTTCGATCGCTTCTAGTTATTCATGATCTCATGTTTGTCCAGGCAATTAACATGTGAATTTTTGTTTTAGATTCTCTTCAAATGTCACTGACTGGACCTCAACTTCTTCCCCTTGAACTGGTTGACAAATGCATAGGTTCTAAGATTCATATAATCATGAAAAATGATAAAGAAATGGTGGGAACCTTGCTTGGTTTTGATGGTTACGTAAACATGGTCTTGGCTGACGTTACTGAATTTGAGTTTACAGCCCAAGGTAAACGTATAACAAAACTACCACATATTTTGCTAAATGGTAGTAACATTGTTATGATGGTGCCTGGTGGAGAAGGTCCTGAAATTTAAACTATATGGTATTTTCACTGTATATAAAATAAATACAATAATAAATTGTTTGTAACATTTTTTATTGCTGTTTCCGGATAGTAGGACTATTCTGTTATTGGTCTGCAGTAATCCAAAACTACTTAAAAATGCTTTAAACCTTCAAGATGTTCAAAATCATTAGAAGCCTTAACTGCTTTGAATCTGAGACTTTGTCACTAGTCAGACAAAAAACACCCTGAAGTATATAGCATAAATGAGTATCAGTCCAAGTTACCACTTTTCAAATCATCACAATAGGAGGAAATCTAAGTAAGAAAATAAGGCATTCGGGAGCACTATTTTGCACGCTGTCATTTAAAATATAGTCTGGAGGGAACAAATATAACTAGTAAAAAGGAGTGTAGATGAATATAAAGAAAAGTCAAGTTTACAAGCTACTAGCGCATCAGATATTCTTAACTTATTGTTTGACGCTGTAAGTTCTTCATTTTTCCACAAAATGGTCGTTTTAGTGTATTTTTATGAAAGATGACTACTAAAAATGGTAATATAGATAATGTGATGAACTTAAAGAATATGGATGTAGCTTCAGCGATATGTGTGACAAACTGACTTGAGTCTTGTTGGTTTGCCCACTCGTTTGAACTCGATTAATCTTTGTTGGAAGTGTATTTTCATCAGCGTGTGCGTGTCGTGATCAGCAAACTTACTACGAGATAAATTTCTACTACCGATATCGTCAAAACAGTAGTTCGATATCCATGGGTATGTGTTTCTTCCAAAACACTTAAATGATTGAGTGTATTTCCCATGTTTCTCTAACGTCATGACTCTGTAACTCAAACTTTCACAGAATCCTATATATATATATATATCATTGTTTCTTTCAGCGATGATTTTTTCGTACATTAGCTAAATAGATAAACCTTGGTGCAATACATAGAAAATTCTTTTGAAGGATCTTAGCAAAGTACATGAGTCAGTAGATACAAACAAAATCGATAAAATCCGGAGAGGTCAACTTTACGCGACAAGCGATCCACGTGCATAGCTTTACATACTTCGATTAGGTGGTCAAGTATAGAACTCCTGACTGCCTTCCTCTCGTCCTTGTAGAACCAAACTGGGACGTGTTTCCGTATCCGAATTGGAAGCTATCGCTGGCTACGGTCAATGTACCTTGCTCCACAAGAGCAGGTGAACTGGTAAATGCACGTGGAGGCGACCAGACGGGGAAGCTTATCTTTTATGGATACAGAAAATAAGTTCCTGCTACTGAAGGTTTTTCGCAGTTTTACCGCATTGAACGTTCTTTCATTCGCTATCGTTAAACGATTTTTTTATTACATCGAAAATTCGGTCACCTTTAAATTCCAAACTTATGTAGAGGTTTTTCTTTGTAACGGAACAACCATATTTTTTGTCACAACTACTTCTTTTCATATTTTTATCTATGAAGCGGTCTGGATAGCCATTTTTCGTCAATTTCTCTGAGGAATGCGAGTTCTTCGTCAATGCAATGGGTACTACATATTCGATGACATAAAGAGTGAATGATATTTCTCTTTCTTCTTAAAGGAACCCAGTTATAGAAGTTTGTCAGCTGGTCATTTCATGTTTCTTTTCTAAATATGGATCTTTTTAAGGAACCGTTACTCCTTCTTATTAGACGCACATCGAGAAAAGAGATTGACTGGTCTCGCTCACTTTCTAATGTAAAGTCTATGGAAGGTTGGCATTTGTTGAAGGAGTTTAAGATGTCTTCTAATTCAATATTATCGTCACAGACGACAAATTTGTCGTCCATGTATCTTACGTATAGATGAAATCGAATAATCATTGAAATGAGTTGGTCGTTTTCCTATTTTGCCATGAAGCACTCTTCTAAAATTGGGTAAGTAACAGTGAGGTTAGACACAGGGTATTAGGGAATGATGGTAAATCAGTTGATGAGTTTGTTAATCTTCATCGACTGAGATGGTTGGGCCACGTGGTACGTATGCCTGAACACCGATTACCACGACGTGCAATGCTAACCGGTGTTGGAGATGGTTGGAAGAAAGTTAGGGGCGGCCAAACCAAAACGTGGCATCAGTGCTTGAAGTCACTAACTTGTAGTCTGAGCCATGTTGGTAGATGCAGACTACTTGGTTGGGGTCCGCGTGACTTTCGTAACCGATGGTTGGAGACTCTTGGTGACATGGCTCAGAATCGATCACAATGGCGTCGGTGTATACACTCCCTGTCTTCCCTTAAACTAAGAGATTAAAATCGCTTCATATCTTTCTTTCTAAGAACCAATTCTTTCTTCTTGTACTATATCTCTATATGCAATCTTCCTCTTATTTATTACCATCTTTGACCTGACCACTGCTATGAATCCGGTGTTCATCTTGTTGTGCTGATGCGGTATGGCAACCTGGACCGATGCATACATGTGCCTGGTCCTACGTTGTAGCTGACTGACTGCTAAAATTGGAGATCCCTTCGCTGAATTTCATGTTATTAATTTTCAATTGTTGCTCACTATTTAATTATTTCGAACTCAAAACTTCTCATCTGTCTTCTGCAGATGTAGATTTATCCTTATGCTATCAATATGTAAAGAATTTAGAAACAAATGCTATCAGAATTTTCCATATTTACTTCCCAGAATAAACTGTACCTAACTTTTTAGAAGAACTACTTCGAATTTTACATACCAGTTTCCTACGTCTGCTTAGAACCGGTAATGTTTACTCTATCCTAATCATAGTATATAAGTGTATAAATATATAATGGGAATAATTTAGGAAGAAACTTGTCTTGCCTGACTAACATTAACTTAACAACCCTGAAAAATTGTACGATCAGCCTTAAAGATCTCACTAAAACAACCCAGTTTTAGATAGACGCTAATGGACAAGACGCTTAGTACATATCAAGCTGTAACGGTAAATAAATCCCTTAAATAAGTAGCTCTGTGACATGTGTTGGTCTTACCAGTTTTATTGGACTCACCTCTAGCTGAAGGTATTCGGTCAATCATCCGCACCGAATCACGTTTGGGTGCGCCGTGATAAGCATCTACAACTAGTCAGTTTGGAATCGTTAACTGTGCGGTACATCGATCTGTAATCCGGATATACGTCCGCATCCTGTAATTCCTTACTCTTGATTTTGTTGGCTTTGGGATCTTTTTATAAGAAGAGATTTCGAACAGTAGTGTTGTCAAATCCTACGTGTCTATAACCTGTTCAAGACATTTACTACAGAGGTGAGAAATTATAATCTTCATGATACATATTTAATATGGGATTTTTGTTCTTAAATTAACAGCAGATTTAGGGTTAAATTGATTTTTCTTAGGTTTTCGACACTGACGTCGCATTTAATGTGACCAAGAACGTCCATAACTTCAAATTAGAAATGTCGACACTTGAGCACCAAATCCAACCGCCCACTTACCAGTTCTTAACATAGCTTGAATACCACAATGCCATTAGCGGGTAATCTGTGTCGATTTATCTGACTACAGATCATAGCTACCCTCCACAACGCCGTCATATTTATTTGAGAAATCTATTAGTAAACCAGATACTACTAGTAAATTGTTTTAGAAACAGTAACCCATGAAATCAACCGAGTCGGAATAGAAGTGCATTCCTTCATTTTTGATATCACAAACTGTTGAAACGTGTCCCCATACGACGGCACTAATCGCACTTAACGGAGGTGTGATAAGCCCATGAATTGCACTGCAAAGGTTAGAGATTTCGTAGTTCGAACTCGAGGAATTGTAAAGTCTCTATGTTGTATATATGGAGACCCAGAATTGCCCATGATCATCACAAGTTATGTTGATTCCTTAACATTTTAAGGTGCTAAACAAATAATACTTTTTTTGTATTGGTTGTTTAGAACTTCCCATTGATGTTTAGGACTGCAATTGATCAGTCCCTTATTGGCATATGTGCGAAATGCCTCGATATTGCCCTTAGTCACAGGCATTATAAGCAGAGATGATCATACCTGCACCCCAAAGTTGATGTTTACTCAGGGACTCTAACCCAGTACCGTTCGCTTCAAACTCCAACGCGTTATCCGCTTAGCTACTGAGTCCAGATGGTCAATGAATTGTGCAATGGAGTGAAGTTTGATTCATTTGAATCTTCACATTGGTGTTTAGGACTGTAATTAATCAACCGTAGAGTATATTACAGAAGACTTGTCTAAACTGATCAGGTTTACGGATTTTATCTATACATGAGTGCACAATCGTCATGCAAAACATGAATGAACACCAAGGTAGTATAGGTATAAGAAATACCAATAAATCTATAATCGAAATCCTTAAAATGGAAATATTTTGTCTGATAATTTTCGAAATTCCCTCAGAACCTATATCAATCATCATTCTAAACAGTCATGAATTAACCTTCGTGAGTGGATATTATGTGGTTGTTTAACAGTTAGTTTCTTAAGGAAATCCTTATTCAAGTGTAAAACATCAGCTGGAGAAACTTAATACTCAAGAAAAAGCTGACAGTAAGATGCTTTTCTAAGTATCACAAGTGAATATTGATGAAAACAGAGTATCAAATACTCTTATGAAACCATGCCATGAAAAGTACTAATTATGATCTGACGTATACAAATATATCAAATGTCTCATAAGAATAATCATCATAACCAAAACACCATATTTTTAGAAAAAATCTACGCGATTTTGTAGAGGCTCAATGGATATCAGCATAATAGCAATCCAATTAGCTACATATATTTACTAAATTTAGATCATTTTGCTGCAAGAAACCAATTTAAGCTACTATAGAACACTTTGTAAACTTATATTTTACGGTATTACATGAAATATCACTAAGAGAATCTTCGGTTTATTATACTACATTAACAGTATCCATTGATATCAATAGAAGCTTGAGATTTCCAGAGCAGCAAAACAATGGGTATCAAGAAAAAGAAAACAACTATGGTTAGTTAAAATTTACAACTTTTGGTAGAAAATAAAATCTGAATGAAAAGTAGGCCACAGTAGAACCAAAGTGTAATTGATGTAATAATTCTTAGTTGATGAGAAGTTTATGTATGTGCATGTTAAATACAACGTAGCTTTATGTAAAGAATAGCAATATATTTACAACTACTGAATAGTTTATGTACATTTTATGAGCCAATACACATTTAGAAAACTAAATAACTCATTGTACTACAGTACATAAAGCTGGAATAATTTAAACACAAAAAAATAACTATATAATTGGTTAGTGGACCTCATATATATATATATATATATATATATATATATATATATATATATATATATATATATATATATACCACATGTTTACATGCTGCAAATAGCCTGGATCAATCGACATAAACAATGGCCAAATTAAATTATAGTACCAGCGAGTGCACGTGCACGAAGAACGAAAAACTGAGCGGTACCCAAAGGATTGGGATAAATTGTATCTGGTGAATGATTTACACAAGAAACAAGATGTCCTTGTGTAAGAGATTCATTTAATACTGAAGACCTGGACGATTGTAAGGTTAGTGAATTATTGTGTCGTTGATATAGATCATTATCATTACGATTTTGCGATCCATTAACTAATGGGTGAAATGTATTCACATTTTCATTTGGTCTAATATCATCTGAGTCAGTCAAACCACCAAAAAGAAATAAACAGCCATGACCAAAAGCACATGAAAAACCTAAACATTCAGGTGGTGCGGAATAAAGATCTAGATAATTTTGTTTGACAGGTGCCAACCAAACACCTTTAGCTGTATTTTCTGTGAAGTGAATTTTAGTTTCAGAACTATATGATGCATCAGAATGAGAGTATATAATGTTGAGTGTATACAGAGCCAAGGGACGATAAGCACATTCAAGCTTTACGTGGTTAGAAGGATACTGGTTATGATTGGATGAACTTTGATTTGATGAAAATGATCTAGCAAATGATGATGTATTAACTTCATTAGGGATCAGGTTACGTGTTCCAAACAGCCTTCGTTCTTGAATAGCTAAAGCTTCAAGTCTTCGTGCTCGTCTGTTATTTGCACGCCTAGATGACTGAAGTTGCAAAATCCCAGTCGATTCACGATCTATAGAAGAAATATTAAATTATAAAGTTATGAGAATATAGGTCTAGCTGTTTCAAATGCTAATGAAAGTGATAAAACAAACAGTTGAGTAATATATATCTCTAATAACCATACAAAAAATACAACCGAACAATGTGATTCGTTATATTAGCTACGAGTTATTCCTATCTAAAGAAAATTACATACATTACTTTGAATGGCAGGAACACTACTATTGAAGATATTTAGAAAGTGTAATAGTTACGAGTACGATACAAATTCATTATCTTGAATGCATAATTAGAGTAACTTATAGGACAGAACTAAAAAACATTCAGCCCACACAACCCGAAGTAACATAGTTTTTTTCTGTTTGTCAATTTGAATAAGGTGAGAACGAAGATCGTGGTAGAAATAAGTGAATTCATATTAATTTGTAGTGGTCGTTGTTTTTACTTTATCCAAATAAGTAAAAGTACGCATCCGAGTGACAAACCTCCATTATTTCAATAAAATAAAAGCTATCTATTTAGCGTAAGCATATACTTTTATTTATGGTAGAATATTTGAACATGACGAAATCACTCCTTAGTCTCGATTATCACTCTACGCAGTATCGCTAACCACAATTTTGATGAAAATTTTACAAGTAATAAGCCATACGTACTAAATTCACTCGGTAATCTTCGTGAAAAGTGTAAATGTCTAAGTGAGCGGATAGATCAGTTCTATCATAGGTACTAAAATAAACCGTATAAAGCTTAGATCTACTTCAGAAGCTGATACTCTAAGCATTTGTATGAACATTACACGACGAAAAAAAATTAACCCTCATAATTCAATCTTCATTTCACTAGCGGCCGAATGATCCACAAAACTCGGGTTCTTCAACCACTAACGTGTTCAACGAAATTCAGTCATATTTTTGTATGTCCATTATTTTGTATACCAACATATCATCTAACTACAAAAAAACTATTCTTCTGGGCAATAGTCTTGTCTTGTGATATTAGTTTACGTGGATAATTCGATCAGGTGAGCAGCTATTAGTCGGCCATATAGTACTATTGTGTATCATCTATCGATCAGTATTCTGTCAATTATTTTAACAATAAAGAAACGCGCATATTAAAATCAGTTCTTTATAAGTCCGTTTGTTGCAACAAACACTCTTCATGGTTACTGTGGCCACAGTGAGCGATGAAATTATAAAACATCCTAAACTAAACTAGTAGGGAGTTGAACGATAACACTAGGATGAATAGTCATTCTATATATGATCCAGTTCACCTTACATCAAATCCAATATTGCAATCTCGGACCATACAGTTTGCTGGGAGTGTAACAGATAGTAGCTATAAACTTAATTTTATGGTGGCAGATATTCGTATTTTTACAACATGCCTACCAAGATAAAAATGGAATAAAAAGTTTACTTGGTGATTCATATATATGAAGCAGTTCAAAGCCAAAATACTCATACCAGTGATATCAGCTGAATGACAATGTTTACGCTGCCCCTCATCCTCGTCATTGACATCATCATCTGACGTACGAGAATCTTGACCTACCGAATTATTTTGAAACGTTACACTGTTTAACTCGGAGTTGAGTTTCATGCGATGCCAATATCTGCGCTGTTTAGCTGCCTCATCCAGCAATGCTGTGGTAGGTTGACTGATGACAACAACAGTATAAACACTGTGTACAATTGAGTTGTTTGTACCAACGTTGTCACTCGGTACAGAAATGAAATTACTGTCCTTTGTCAACAACAGTGACTTACTGTCTTCACGATATGGAAGTGAAACTGCGGTTGCATGATAAAAGTCTATCGGTGGGCATCCAGGGATACCCTCAGTACATTGAACTTTGGTCCAGAACCAATCGACTTCAAACCATTCTGAATATAAAAGGGTATGATTTGAAGAATTATACAGCAGTCTGCATACTAGGAAATTATCTTATTTACGAAAAACTGCAACATTCTTTAAAATATACCCAGTTTGAATAATATTACCAAACAGTTTCTAGACATTCTAGTAAGAAAAATATATGGACGCGATTTCGAAATATAAATATGTATAAAACACTGAACCATAGGATCGAACAAGTAAAGAAATGGTACTCACTGTATAATAGTCACACAGCTCTTTAAGTGATTTGAGAAAAAAGAATGACAGACAACTATACATACTCGAATAATTATAAATATCCATGAGAGTACATCACGAGAATCATCAGAGATGATTTAGTAAATATATTGAAAATTTATATTCACAAGAAATTCGCATCTACACATTTTAGATGAAATATTCGAAGAAAACTAATTTTAATTCCAACGCACTCCATCAAAGTAGATAGCCTTTAGCTTGCGTAACGACCAGGCAAATAAACTCATAATTGCATAAATAAGTCCTGGTGAGTTATTAGTAAGGTGATAATTAAATTAACTACATACTCGGTTAGAATATCACCAAACAGTTTTCAAAAATGATTAAAAGTTACCAAACAAACCATGGACTGTTAACACTGAGGTAACTAACCAAATAGCGTGTTGTACATAAGATCTTGAATTGTAGTATGTAGCTAGCAATAAATTTTGTCGTCAGGTATTGGTCAAAGTGTGCTTGAAACCTTGAAGAAATTCATATCCCCAAAGATTGGATTGGAACCAATTTTTTTAGAGTTAATCTTAATGAAAGTACCACGAACTCTGTTGCAGCTGACAGGTGTTGGTCAATAAAGATTAAAAACTTGGAGAGCAAATAAAGACCATTGACGTACTCTGGCAATCAGTACGAACAAACATTCAACATCTAATTTCGGATATCTTGATGGATATAATTATGAGTTATTATATTGAATTGAGAAAGGTTTACGTGAAAACTCAATCTAAGGTGTTGAAAATATCTAAGCTTTCTTTGAGATTACAGTTAGAAATATGACAGCAATAATAAGACCATGTTTGTAATATTAACAAGATGGGTATCAGAATTCACTTGTTCAATAATTGCTTGTTAGGAAAATGACGGACATGATATATATGTGCATAATACTACATTTATGAACTGAAACTTAAAAAACTTAGTTGAATCCCATAAAAGTATTAAAGTTGATAGGAAGGTCTTCAAATAATGAGGTTTAACATAAACGAGATTAGTGTATTGCGACTGACAATAAAATCGAGTAAAGTTTGCAATAACTAACCTTGACCAATACTTGGTGAACAACGTGTAAGTATCCATACATCTCTCGCCGGTCGACCATGATAGTTAAGTGTACTAGAAGTTGATTCAGAATCATTACTCGAAGTAGGATTAACTGACATTCCTTGTTGTCGACGCACAGAATGGTCAGTGGCCAAAGGTGATTCCAAATTCCCAAATAACAAAAGCATTCTATTTGAATCAAGAGCGCAAGTTGAATGACCACAGCGCCCAGATGGCCAGTCACCTTGACAATTATCCGTTGTATCAGAAAGTGAAATCCAACAACCATTTTCCGGCGATATCACAAATAGGTAGTTAACGCACAATCCAAGAGATTGACACATTCCTCCGAATAAAACCAATACACTAGGTTCGCCTATTCCACCTTTAGGGAGAAAGCATCCAGACTGGCCGGCAATTGCAGGTGGTGATACAGGACTTAAGTGGTTTACTTCGTATAACGGCATACGTGACCAATGCATTGTCGAAATATCAAAACTATTCAACTCAGTTAACCAATCCATACGGCCCTAGATGAATTTTAAAAAGAAATGAGTTACAACCACTAGTGTTACCCGAGACTTTGGGTACTCAGGAAGTTTGGACAAAGTATTCTATGAAGTGCTATCAATTTGTACTTTGTTGAACAAGAAAAAAATATTATAACCAATACAGATGAGTTACTGTACATGTATTGCGTAGGTTTATTAACAACACGTTAATGAATCTAATACTCATCTTGCATAGGACAAAGTATCAAAATGTTACTGCAAGAAATATATATCAAAAAGCAATACTAACGACTGTTTATCCCCATCTCATAAGTCCGTCTAATTTTTACTTAAATATCCTCTTTACAATCTCACTTTCAAAACTAGTTAAAAGGTTTTCTGTTTCAACTTATGTGCATCAAGTGAGGAAAACAAGCACGTACTAACATTAGAGCATGAACAGAGTTAAAACATCTTTCAACATACGGTCTACCTGTCTTTAGGTTTAGTGTTGGTCCTTGCTAGTAACAAATAGCTGTCTCAGCAAACTTTCTAATTGTGAATTTAACAGTATACATATATTAGATGTGTTCTCTTTGTAACTTCTGGAATGATGATTTTATATACATTTATCACTAACACTAGCAAAGAGTAGCACGATCTGTCTGTTCTTCTTTGAGATTTTTCTAATAACTAACAAACTGGATCATGGAATGGATTCATTTTGCCGATAAGTAATTTACTCCTGAAATAAGTCACGGAACACAATCACTTCAGCTCTTTTCAGGTGAAGGCATACAACCAAATCAGTATGGATTCCCCAGTGAGAAAACCTTGTTATCTTGTTAGGGAATTTTTACCGACGTGACGTACGTGACCTAGACTATATGAGCAACCTATCCATATGCTAGCTGTGAATTACGAGAGACCAAAGGACGATTATTTATATGTAAGTGCACAACTTATTCTTGTAAACTAACTTCTGTGAATGTTAGATGAGCTAATACCATAACAGACTCGGCATTGAGCCACACATTTTGCGTTAGAACTAGTGATATTATTCGGCTGCCGGGGTAGGTGGAACATAGTTCGACCAGAAACTTACTAATTGAGAGGCAATAAGCCACCGCTTATAAGAGAAAATGTCTAACGCAATTCTTACCGTATGTTCCGATCCCGCTCTATGAAAGCTTTGACAACCTCCGTACAGATAAAGTAGATTTCCAATAAAACCACCTTTAGCATGTGCTCTTGGTGTTGGTAGCTCACCTGATAAATAAACAACAGAGATTTTGAAACTTAATAAAATGATCAAATCACATTGCGGATATAAAACGTATTAAATAGTGGACATTTACATATTAATTCGATAGCAAATTCAATTAAATCACAGATCCTTTCACCACTTGTAAACAGCTAGAAATACCCATGGATTGGCAGAACCGGATAACTGAAATTAGTTACAACAAACCTATCAAAATGAACTATGCGTCAACTTAGTAGTTAGAACAATAACTAGTTAATTACGTCGTCACGGTAATATGACAAACCACATCACGACATGTTATCAGTCCACTAAGTCATTGACTGATCTGAACTGACTATGCAGTTACTAAATCAACGAACTAGTCACAATTCACAGTGGATGTCTCAAAACTGGTTTCAATACGGCAAACATATTTGTCATTTATCTTCTAAATCGCGACTTATTCACATAAATACATGTATTTGTGGTTTATTGAAAGGTAATGATAGTCGAAGGTCATTAGAGAACCAATTAATTTTAAACTTCATGTACCAATACATTGTCTGTTCGTTATTCTAGAGGATTACAAAAGGCTAGTTAGAAAATTAGCTCTTGCTACACAAGATTTTCATGTAAGTGTAAGGTTTCGAAAGTGAGGAGCCAATATTACATAGCTGAAAATGGCACCCAAATGCCATACCATTTTTATTGTAAGTGTTGTTTGTTACCTTTCTGCTTAACTCATAGATAGACACTTAAGTTTGTAGAGTTAACTCTTTTTGGCATATCATTGATAACTGTGAGCATTGTTATATGTAGAGCAGGCCACGCGTGTACAGTCACTGCTAGGGAAGTCCTACTCACTGCCTTCTTGTGACGTGTTTTTTACGAAATTGAGAGGGTGAGAGGCGAATGTCCGGCGCTTCAACCGGGTTAGCGATACGGAGGATCTATCCAGGGGAGTTGAAAAACCCTGATTCCAAACCAATGGTGCACATGGGCTCCAGTATCCTGCGGGAACAAATGGCGTATGAACCAATTGTTGGTCACCGGCTTCTATGGGACTGCATCTCCTTACGATGCTCCACTGCCTTGTGGATCAGACCTTCAGGCCGAAGGCTCGGAGAGTGGCTCTCTAAGAAAACCACTTGCTTTGGTTTAGGCGCTCGAGCAGTACCCCAGCCCTCACACAAATCGAATGGCAAAGTGTGGCGCATATGTATTTGGTGCCTTTTGTACCAATGTCTATGTGTATAAATAAATAATAAGCAGCTTTCCACAAAAAACCAAACACTCTCCCATCTTTACTTCGATTATTTTTATTTTATTTTTTATTTTAACACATAGATATTGGTACAAGGAGGAACCAAATACATATGCGCCACACAAATCTCATTCGATATATGTGAGGGCTGTGATAATGCCTGGGTGCCCGAACTGAAGCAGGTGGTTCTCCTAGGGGGCCACTCACCGAGCCTTCGACCTGAAGGTCTGATTCACACGGCAGTGGAGCATCGTAAGGAGATGCAGTCCCATAGAAGCCGGTGACCAACAATTGGTTCATACGCCATTTGTTCCCGCAGGATACTGGAGCCCATGTGCACCATTGGTTTGGAATCCGGTTAAAGCGCCGGACATTCGACTTTTCGTCTCCTCAATTTCGTAAACAACACCGCCACGAGAAGACAGTGAGTAGGACTTCCCTGGTAGATGCTATATACGCGTGGCCATGTGAGCGTTTCGAGAGGGAGAGCGGACTCTCCCCAGTCAGTCAGTCAGTAACAACGTAGAACTTCGTACATATGTACATCAGTTCGAGTTGCCACACCACATTAGCACAGAGATGCAGTTGTCGATTCAAATCCCGCGGTGGTAGAGGTAGCAAGAGTATAAGCAGTAATCGGGAAGATTAGGGTTTGGAGATGTTATTTAAAGAGTATAATCCAGTGAAATAAATTTGGAAAGAGGAAAAAAGGGACATGAAGGATTCAGAAGATTAGAATTTGGGAGAACACAGAGAGTGGATGCACCTGCGCCATTGCAAACGATTTTGAGCCATGTCATTCAGGGTCTCTAACCATCGGTTGCTATCATCTCGCGGTCCCCAACCAGGTAGTCTACACCTACCAACATGACTCAGTTCACTTGTCAGTGACTTCATGGACTTGTGCCATGTTTTGGTTTGGCCGCCCCTAGCTTTCTTCCAACCTACTCCTATACCACTGAACATAGCACGTCGAGGCAGTCGGTCGTTGGGCATACGTAACACGTGTCCCAGCCATCTCAACTGATGAAGTTTCACTACTTCATCAATTGATTTGCCATCCTTACCTAGTACCCGTTTCCTAACAACTGCATTACTTACTCGATGGTCCCATGATATACGAGCAATATTTCGAAGACACCTATGATCAAATACTAGTAACCTACGAATATCCTCTACTCTTACCGGCCATGTTTCACTGCCATAAAGTAGGACGGAACGAACTGCTGCGCAGTAAACCCGTCCTTTGGTTGATAGACGGATATCTCGCCTACGCCATAAATGACGCAAGTTGGCAAAAGCTAGTCGAGCCTTCTGTATCCGTGCTGAGATTTCGTCACACACCAACCACAAGGGCTGATGAGACTTCCAAGATAAGTGAAGCGGTCGACACACTCAACTACTTCACTCCCTATCACTAGTTCGGGTGTCGATGTAACCCAATCCTGAAGCAACATTTTGCATTTCGAGGGAGAGAATCGCATCCCGAACATGCTTGCATTGTTGCTTAGAGTGGTCAGAAGACTCTGCATTTTGTCAGCGTCTTCACCAAATAAAACTATGTCATCAGCATATTCTAAGTCAACAAGTGAACCTCCCGGTAGAAGTTCAACCCCTGTAAATTTAGATGAGGAGAGTGTTATCTCTAAAAGTACGTCGACCACAAAGTTGAACAAGAATGGGGAGAGTGGACAGCCCTGACGAACACCACTTGAGGTAATCAATTCTGATGACAGTTCGCCATAAGCTCTCACTCTACCAGTTGTGTTCGAGTAGAGAGCCTTTATAAGGTTAATGTACTTCTTTGGTACTCCTTTCAGTGACAAACACTGCCATAGAACCTCACGATCAACAGAGTCGAATGCCGCCTTAAGGTCGAGAAATACTACCATTGTGGGGCGTCTGAATGTGTGTCTGTGTTCTAGAACCTGACGTAGTGTGAATATCTGATCTATACAACCACGTCCAGGTCGAAAACCGGCCTGGTTTTCTCTAATCTGCTCTTCACGAGCTTTGATTAGGCGTCGAAGTATTATTGAAGCTAATATTTTAGACACTATATTAGTCAAACTGATTCCTCTGTGATTGTCACAAGAGGACTTTTGTCCTTTCTTATAGACTGGCACAATCAGTGATTGAGACCAGTCAGATGGGATTACGTCCAGTTCCCAAATTCTACCTAAGACCTCAGTTAATCTCATTGCTAATACTGGACCACCATCCTTAAAAATCTCAGGAGTAAACCTGTCAGGGCCTGCTGCTCTCCCTCGTTTCAGATTTCCTATGGCTTTTTCAACTTCGTAAAGGGACGGAGGACCTACATTAACTTGCCATTCAGGTTGACTAGAGATCGTGGGAAACCGAAGTGTGGCTGAAGGCCAGTTGAACTGATCCCTAAAGTGTTCTGCCCATCGATCCAATCTCCTGGATTGAGAATAATATGTCCATCTTTCTCTGAGATTGTTTCGCTAACGGTCGGGTTCCTAATTCCGGTTTCCTTAACGAGTCTGAACAATTGTCTGCTATTACCTATTGCCGCTGCCTTTTCCATCTCTCTTGCTTTCGCTACCCACCACTGTTCGCGATCATTGCGTAGACTTCTTGTCAGCTTGCGCTTAAGCTGACTCCGCTCTTCATTATGTTCAGAGCCAGGTGGAATGAGTTTCCGAGCATCTATCAGTGCGATAGATGCTGCTGAGATCCAGTGTTGCTCCCTAACCTTCTGGTTTACCTTACTAGCAGATATCACTGCTGTTTTACGCTGACAAAATGCAGAGTCTTCTGACCACTCTAAGCAACAATGCAAGGATGTTCGGGATGCGATTCTCTCCCTCGAAATGCAAAATGTTGCTTCAGGATTGGGTTACATCGACACCCGAACTAATGATAGGGAGTGAAGTAGTTGAGTGTCGACCGCTTCACTTATCTTGGAAGTCTCATCAGCCCTTGTGGTCTGGTGTGTGACGAAATCTCAGCACGGATACAGAAGGCTCGACTAGCTTTTGCTAACTTGCGTCATTTATGGCGTAGGCGAGATATCCGTCTATCAACCAAAGGACGGGTTTACTGCGCAGCAGTTCGTTCCGTCCTACTTTATGGCAGTGAAACATGGCCGGTAAGAGTAGAGGATATTCGTAGGTTACTAGTATTTGATCATAGGTGTCTTCGAAATATTGCTCGTATATCGTGGGACCATCGAGTAAGTAATGCAGTTGTTAGGAAACGGGTACTAGGTGAGGATGGCAAATCAATTGATGAAGTAGTGAAACTTCATCAGTTGAGATGGTTGGGACACGTGTTACGTATGCCCAACGGCCGACTGCCTCGACGTGCTATGTTCAGTGGTATAGGAGTAGGTTGGAAGAAAGCTAGAGGCGGCCAAACCAAAACATGGCACAAGTCCATGAAGTCACTGACAAGTGAACTGAGTCATGTTGGTAGGTGTAGACTACCTGATTGGGGACCGCGAGATGATAGCAACCGATGTTTAGAGACCCTGGATGACATGGCTCAAAATCGTTTGCAATGGCGCAGGTGCATCCACTCTCTGTGTTCTCCCAAATTCTAATCTTCTGAATCCTTCATGTCCCTTTTTTCCTCTTTCCAAATTTATTTCACTGGATTACACTCTTTAAATAACATCTCCAAACCCTAATCTTCCCGATTACTGCCTATACTCTTGCTACCTCTACCACCGCGGGATTTGAGTCGACAACTGCATCTCTGTGCTAAGGTGGTGTGGCAACTCGAACTGATGTA